ATGACTGCTCTCAACAGCCCCAAACTGGATGTCTAGCAAGTATCATGTATCTACAATCAGTACCAAGCTTCGACAGCCCTAACAACATCAATGGGCCTAGGTATGTCTTTGCCTGTAATTATCGGCATCGGCACTTGCCGAGCAACGTGTTGACCTGAAGACCTTCAGGCTTCAGCTTCAGCAATTTCTCCGCATGTATGGGGAAAGAGATTCGGAGATCCCCAGACTTGGCGCGTCAGGATCCATCTCGGCCTCCGGGCCTAATATCTGCAGATCCACAGCTGATCAAAGACACCACTCGAGGAGACTGGATTTTCCGTCTTTATGTCGGAGAATCCCACTTGCTGCTGGATTTCCGCATACACCGACGTCAGATCCCTGCTTTGATCTTTCTGCCTGCTTCTTAACGGCATTGACGATCGGGAAATACTCGTTGTCTAGTCCCTCTTTCATCGGCACAACTTCGGGGGTTGCACAAGGGTTGGCCGTGCAACTTTGACCAAGATGCTCCTTTCAATGACTTTACCCCACGGGGTTACTATTATGATAAACGGGCAGATTCCTGGGGTAGTGTAGTATAAAGAGGGGCTGTTTTCCAGCGGAACCCAAAGCAACCCGGGGATTTTTTACTGAGAGCAATCTCATAGAACCAGACCTCTGGTGAGCCGACTCAGTCAACATGACCAAGCTCTCTCTACTGCCCCTTCTCACATTGGGCTCTGCAGTTCTGGCAAAGCAGGATGCTTTCCAGGCCAAATGTGCTAGTTTTGAACACAGGATCAAGCTCCCCAATGTCCACGTGAACTTCGTTGAATATGTCCCTGGGGGGACAAACCTCACCCTGCCTGACAACCCGGTCAGCTGCGGTGCATCCTCTCAGGCTGTGTCAGCGGATATGTGCCGGGTTGCTATGGCTGTTGATACATCGAACAGCAGCCAGATCACCCTGGAAGCATGGTTCCCGCGGAATTACACTGGTCGCTTTCTGAGCACTGGCAATGGAGGTCTTTCTGGCTGTATGGCTTCCTCTAAATCTTTTGTGGAGATAGAGCGCCGTTGTGGCTGATATTACCATAGGCATCCAGTACTACGATCTTGCCTATACTGCCGGATTAGGCTTCGCAACCGTCGGCGCCAACAATGGCCACAACGGAACATCTGGCAAGCCATTCTACCAGCATCCTGAAGTCATCGAAGACTTCGCGTATCGGTCAATTCACACCGGTGTTGTGGTTGGTAAACAGCTCACCAAGATGTTTTATCACGAAGGCTTTGACAAGTCCTACTACCTGGGATGCTCGACCGGTGGTAGACAAGGCTTCAAGTCGATCCAGAAGTACCCCAATGACTTCGACGGTGTTGTGGCCGGTGCTCCAGCCTTCAACTTCGTCAATTTGATCTCGTGGAGTATCCACTTCTACTCGATCACCGGATCGAATACATCAGACACATACCTCTCGCCTGCTTCGTGGAACGTCGTTCATGATGAGATCGTGCGGCAGTGCGATGGAATCGACGGGGCAAAGGATGGCATCATTGAAGATACCGATCTCTGCCATCCAATTCTCGAGACAATCATCTGCAAGCCAGGTGCCTCTAGCACGACCAATTGTATCACAGGCGCTCAGGCGAACACTGTCCGCAACGTTCTCTCCCCATTCTATGGCGTGAACGGAACCCTGCTCTACCCTCGCATGCAACCCGGCTCCGAAGTGTTCGCTTCGTCGATCATGTACAACGGTCAACCCTTCAGCTACAGCACCGACTGGTACCGCTATGTTGTCTACAACAACCCCAATTGGGACGCCACCAAGTGGACGGTTCAGGATGCCGCGGCTGCTCTGGCGCAGAACCCCTACAACATCCAGACCTGGGACGCGGATATCTCCTCCTTCCAAAAGGCGGGTGGAAAGGTCCTGACCTACCATGGTATGCAGGACCAGCTGATCAGCTCGGATAACTCGAAGCTGTACTATGCGCGCGTGGCAGAGACAATGGGCCTGGCCCCCGAAGAACTGGACGACTTCTACCGCTTCTTCCCTGTTAGTGGAATGGCACACTGCAGTGGAGGAGACGGTGCCTATGGCATTGGCAACGGGCTGAAGACATACAACGGTGCTGAGCCAGAGAACAACGTCCTTATGGCAATGGTTCAGTGGGTGGAGAAGGGGATTGCTCCGGAGTTCATCCGTGGTGCCAAGTTCTCGAACGGGGTTGGTTCGTCTGTCGAATATACCCGCAAGCACTGCAGATATCCTCGCAGAAATGTGTACAAGGGACCAGGAAACTATTCCGACGAGAACGCATGGGAATGTGTTTAGTTGGCGGTGATGAATTTGAGATATACATTGAGCGTAGATATTTAAGCTCGGCAGCAGAGCAGACAATAAGACCTTATACCATAATAAAAGTCTCGGACTGAGGGAGTTCTTTTATCATAACCCATTTCCAGATTGCAATGTAGATTGTTTCAGAGCACAGGGCACAATCCATAATGTCATTGAAGGGGCAGAAGGAGGCGGTAGTGGGGGGCAGAAATGCATCCACATCTTAGGACTCGATCGACAGATGGAGCAATGCCATTTTCACTTACATACGTCCTCCATCGTGCACTCTGCGATAATCTGTGCGTCTGGCCCAAAAATAGGAATAGGCATACAAACTAGAATATAGTAGGTGATACTCTTTCTCCTGAACATGTGAACCACACAATTGGAAACAGCTCCCTTGATCTCCGCAAAGACACAGCTCCACATACAGACCGCCTTGGCAGCTTAGCCTGATTGAGGTAGTGGCAGGCAAGAGAGTTAGTTACCAGAAAGCACTCGATGATGAAGAACTTCTGGCGTGGAACTGATATTACCCTTGTCGCATGTACGCCTCTTGCTGATCGACAGATTTTCTAGCAACCACAGTTCCCAACGCATCGAAAACGCGGTCATAAGCTTACTGTCCGCTAGTTAGCGCTGATCCTTGATTTCGCAAAAGCTACCCCAACCCCGCAATTGCACAAGCGTCCTGATCGATTTGATCCATTGCGAAGAAGTGCGTGATCGCATCAGCTTTACATCGAGAAATCGCAAGATACGGACGTTTTGCCCGCGAAATTCAGAAAAATGGCCGATCCTATCGCCGACGCGCCTGTCATAGACGAGTTCGCGCAAACTCGAGGCGGGGATGATCTGTTCGACGACGAAATTGTCCCAGTCTCCGCGGACGAACAAGTACAAGCTGAGGTCCAGACACCGGGGGAGAATGTTGCAGCCATCGAGAGCCAGGAACCACCACGGATAGATACCCCGCCGCGCTCGCGTGGAGGGGACAGACGAGGAGGGAGAGGCAGAGGAAGGGGGCGTGGTGGACGCGGGTCACATCACTCAGGTCGCGGACGTGCAGAGGGAGGACCGAGGGGCAAGTCGACTGACAATGCTACCGAACGCGAGGACAACAGAGTGGAGGATGCAGCCCGCGATACGCCGGTGGAAGGATCAGAGCAGTCCACAAAAGAGGACGAAACCAAGTCGGACGCTAAGTCGGACGCTAAGCCAGCCGGTGCGGCGAATGGAACTGAAGCTCAACGAGTTCCAGCTGTTCGTGGTGATAGGAGCGCAACTGGTGGAGTGAAGAAGGTAAGGGACGAGCCTATGTGGTTTGAAGAGGAACATGTACTAATTAGATCACCAGCCCAAGCTCACGGAGGAAGAGCTTGCCCGACGCATCGCTGCCGCCAAGGAGAACGCCGCTAAAAAAGCTGCTGCATATGCCCGCGCTGAGGCCGATCAGGCGTCATTTCTTGAACGCGAGAAGGTTGCAGAGGAGAAGCGCCGACAGGAACGCCAGAATCGCCGCGCGATGGATTCCGAACGCGAGCGCAATCGCTTGAGAAAACTCGAAGCTTTGGGCGGAAGGGAGTGGGATGCTACCAAGCGCGAAGAAGACTACAATCCCCGTGGTGGTAGAGGTCAATTCAGGCGAGGCATGCACGGAGGAGTCTCTGGTTACGCTCGACGAGATTTCGATGACGCCCGTACGGAGGAGGAGAGTCTAGAGGGACGCCATCACCATAATCACCGTGGTCGAGGACGTGGTGGAAAGGGTGGGCGCGGACGAGGAGCTTCTCGCGTTGCGCCTTTTGACGGAGCGTCAGATGGAGCTGCTTCAGCAGCCACGCCAGCCGTTCCGGTTCTGAACAATGAACAAGAGTTTCCTGCCCTTCCCGCCGGCGGTGATAAATCAACAGACAAGACGGTCTCCGCTCTTGCAGACAAGCTAGAGACCTCACTGTCTCCAGTGTCTGGTGCCACGTGGGCGGAGCAAGTCGAGTCGCAGCGAGATTAATCTACTCTTGCTGACCGATAGCTAATGCCCGCCCTGATGTTCTGTCTACGCATGTACGTTTCCTATTCTAACTGTTTCTCATGTCTCTATGATGGATAGACCTCCGGAGAGGTTTTCTGATGTCTCTTTTCTTTCGACTTCATTAACGATTGACCTATACCACGGAACCGGAATGAAACTTGTATGTACATACGCTCTATATGTTACAAAATCGGCAGCCCATGGTGTCCATGCACATTGTCCGACACCTATTTTCTCCTAGTCCAAGGTCTCACTATCTACTACTGGCTCTTCCAAGTCAATGTACCTCTCAGTTGTACGTGATGATTCAGCGAGGGTGGCGAGTACCAGCCAATGACCAAGGCGGGATGCGCTCATTATGAAATCATAGTTACTATGCGACTAGAACAGGGATCCGATCGACATTCAGATGGTCGATGAGGCATAACATGGACTTTTTATATAAAGACGTTGTAGTCAAGGCATTATCTTGCAATATTCAACGTTTTTGAAACACTCGGAATTCCAGGTACGTTCGCCATCAACTATACAACGAAACCATCAAAACAATACAAATCATTACATATTTGTACCAGCAATACACCGTACTGATTCAAGCATAAAGACACAAGCAAAGAACCAAAATCACCATAACCATCACAATGTCCGACAGAACATCTGACAACGCTGGCAACCACGAAAGATCCTCTACCCAGGGTGGTGCCAGCGCCAAACCCACACCCGCCAACAACGCTGGCGGTGGTTCCGGATGGGGCGACAAGGGGTTCTTCAAGGGGGGCTCAGAGGGACCGGGACATATGGCCGTAAGTTGTTCGATGTGTAGCTCACGAGCGCGGACCATTGAGCTGATGGTTTACGATGCAGGCTGAGACCCCCAACTCATCAATGGGCGAGTTCCTGGGTCTGAAGTCGCAGAAGGGTGCTGCGAGCGCGAACTTTGACAGTCGGGCTCGCGGGACGTCGGGGATGGCTAATACTACTTCGTGCGAGAATGAGGATCATAGTTTCATGGAGCATACGCCTGGATGTCCTCAGACGCTGCCTGGGTGGTCGAAGACGAAGGGGGTGTATGATATGTGAGTTTTACCAGGAGTTCATTGGGAATGTCTCTGACAAAAGGTGTGTTGGTGCTGACGTTTGAGCTTTAGGTTGCATCACCAAGGTAGATAGTAGTATGCTGGATTCTGAGTTGGGAGTTGAAGGAGTTCTACGCATGTAGTATGTGCTTCTAAGAATTGTTTTGGTACACTTATTTGCCATGAATAAACGTTATTTCCATGAATGTTAAAGGATTAATGAGAATGCCAAAAAAACTGAGTATGCTATATTGTACACTATTCTACCTTCGACCTCTTTCCGCCGATACGATCGCGTAGAGCTACAATCTTCCCTAGCAGTCTGCCTTTCAAGGTTTGCGCGGTAAGCGCAGCAGCCTGATCAGCAGCGACAAAGCGGCGAACCAGGAGATTGAAGATGCTTCCGAACGCAAGCGCAATCACGGTACTGGTCAAGATGATCACGTTGTACGGCATGCTGAAGTCGGGAGTCGGTAGCGGGAGGAGGAGGCTGGTTGTGCGCATGTAGATCGGATTATCGTGAGCACTGATTTTGCCGTTCGCGCCAGAGAGTTTGATCACCGCAGGAGCGACGTTGAAACCGCGGTTGGCGTCAGGCGGATATTCAGTATAGCGCAGAATCGCCTTCTCAAAGTCATAGGTGAGAGTGACGATGGAAGCAGCAGGCACAGAGAGTGCGAGTTCCAATTGTGTGCCTCTTTCTCTGTCGATGGCTGGCCTGTAAAACGTCTCTTTCACAATGTGGGAGACGGGAACCGATCGAGAGGTTCCGTCGCGGCCTGTGATCGTCGCGTGTAAAGTGTGGACATAGGGCCGCAAGAACCAGGGAAGAGTCTCAAAGTAAATGAAGTCGACCGGATTTGCGTCTGATGGGTTGTCAAAAATAATACGCATGCCGCCTCGTTCCTGGCCATGGCCAACAATCGTGCGCTCCGCACTCAAAACCGGTTCATCCAGAGGAGCCAAGCTCGTGTGAGGTTGCTCGGGAATCACCAAGTCAAATATGCCGGATGGTTGCAAGGTGAAACAACGGGTGTATCCGTCGGGCTTTTTTGTCTCTTCCACTCCAGATGTGGTATATACCCCTTGCTCATGCGGCAGCCGCAAACAGATCGCTTCTTCACCAGAGCCTTGGCTTTCGTCAAGAGAACAGACGCCACTTAAAGTACGACCAAAGATCTCGCTCAGGCTCCAGCCTTTGCCCGAGCCTCTTTCCAGAGGATAACAGGTATCGTCCGAATGATAAGGCTTCGAATTGTCACAGTTCAGCTGATCATTAGGAACCGGACGTGGAATTGGGTTGTCTAGGAGGGTCAGAAACTACTGTATGTCGAAAAGAGAAAAGCAGTTTGACAACTCACCTCGAGGCCGTTTGGAGCGCTCAATGTCTAGCACAATGTCTACTGTTTGCTCGATTTGCATGAGACACTCTTCGCCTTCAGGGCAGACGGGACGCACATCAACAGACATGCTCTGCCAAGATGCATCAAATAACTTGTGCCCATCTAGAAGACTAGAGATGCCAGCCTTGCCCTTGCAAGGGAGTAATTTCAGAAAGGGTGTCAGGTTCTCCGTGCAGACAACTTCTCCAGGAAGCGTTCCATGCAGCAGATGCAGGTCATTAGAGGCGGAATGATCCCCGATAGGCTCAAATGATACAACCGGTCGAGTCGTTCGAGTAGAATCAATGAAATTTAACGATGCGCAGAACAGACCGGACAGAGACTGTGTCAAGGATCTCCATCGTGCAAATGCGCTGAACGAAAGTCAGCTCAGTATACCTCCGCATCTGGTTTCCAGCTCCTAGACCCACCTTTCGCTGTCCGGCGCATCGATCCATGCCCATAGCTCTACACCTGTATTGCCCTCCTTCGTCCCGTTCCAGGGACGTGTACCCCAGCTTTCAGCATCCCATCTTCCTGTTGTGAACCGAATATGTAGCTCCTTGGTGTGGGTGTGTTGTAGGATTTGGCCTAGAGCACGGGGGAAGTAGCGAAAATGCCGTTGGTCAAAGGACTCTTGCGAAGTATTGCCTCTGAAGTTGAACGACGCTAGCAGGGAAGATTGAGGAAGCGGCTGGAGGACGAGAGCTTCGTGGTAGTCCGATGCGGCGGAGGTGAAGGTCGCCAACGCGATGAGGAGAGCAAGTAGGGGAAGAAAGCAGAGGACAACCATCACGTCATTCTTGCCATCTAAAAGCCTCCAGATTCTATTGCGGTATGATCTTTAGCTTTCCTAACTTCCCAGGGATATCATTGAGTGGGACTGTGGTACATTGAGGATGTTCATGATGTTCATGAGAGCTGGCCCTTTGAACCAATTGAGCTTAGTCTCTGGATCTATATGACAAGGTGAGCACAACTGCACAAGACTAAGATATGTTGCATACTATTACTTTCTAAGGATAATTATACAAATAATAACATGAACATTAAATACTAGTTTCCTAATTATTAGAGAGGTAGACTGTCATTATTTAATTCTTGTTCATCTAGGAATCCTTCACCTAGTTCTAGATGTAGCTGAGGCTCACATAAGCGCAGCCGCGCTTAGCGCCACGCCTCAGATATCGAGACCATCGCCAGTCCAGAAGAAATTCCTCTTTTTCGCGCTCAATAAGCTGTCGCTAGCTTTCAATCACCATGGCAGCCGAACAAAGAAAGCTGCTCGAGCAGCTTATGGGAGGTAAATCACTGGACTATTTACAAACTTCAAATTATCTCTGAAACAAGCTGATGGAAATCTTCTCACAGCGGACCAGCTCATAGGTACCGGCGCCGGCTCTCGCAATGCGCAGCTTCAGATTACAGACCCTAAGGTCTGTCGCTCGTACCTGGTCGGAACTTGCCCGCATGATCTTTTCACCAACACCAAGCAAGATCTGGGCCCTTGTCCCAAGGTACATAGCGAGGGACTGAAGACGGAGTACGAGACCGCCTCGGCGGCCGAGAAGGCGAAATGGGGCTTTGAGTTCGACTACATGCGCGACATGCAGAAGTATATCGACGATTGTGATCGCAGGATCGACTCCGCCCAGCGACGGTTAGAAAAGACTCCGGACGAGATCAGACAGACAAACAACTTGGTAAGGGCGAAGCACTTCCACCGAGCTATCAGGAGAACATTCATTGACTCTCAGACAGCTGAAACAAATTTCCGATCTCACAAAGACCATAAATACCGGTCTTCTTGAAGTTTCCGTTCTCGGTGAAACTGGTGCCGTGGCCCAAGCGCTCAACGAACTACACAAGATTCGCACCGCGAAACACCAAAAGGAGACCTGCGAGCGTGAACTCAAGAATCTTCAAGATACCTCCGGTCCATCCGGTCATCAGAAGCTGCAAGTCTGCGACGTCTGCGGTGCCTATCTGAGCCGTCTTGATAACGATCGCCGGTTGGCCGACCACTTCTTCGGCAAAATGCATATGGGTTATTCAGACATGCGCAAGACGTACAAAAAGCTCAGCGAAGAGCTCAAGGGGCGCCCCCCTCCTGTCCGTCACCATGATGATGACGAAGGCGGTTGGGGTGGCCGCTCAGGTGGTGGACGAGGTCCACGTTATGGCGGTGGTGGCGGATACAGGAAACGAGGCGGACGGTGGTGATTTGAGATGCCTACTGATCGTGGTTTCTTTCCGGGTATTCCGACCGGAATTTGCATAGCGCAGGCGTTGATTTTCTTTTCTTCATACCTAGGATTTGATGAATCGCAATATGTGGACGTGATAGGCTTGCTTTCATGTCAACAAATAATGAACACAGCATAGCATAGCCATCATTCTATCTTTATATTAATCTGGCCCGCATAGCAGCGATATGGTTTGCGGAAGATAAATTAAATGTCAAGGTGAACGTTGTGACTTGTTTGTATTGACTTAAATACTGCTTGACCTCAGCTCTTTATCAACGGCGTCCCGAGATCCCAAGTCCCATGACTACTGGAAGAAAAGTGACATAAATACACCGAAAGAAGATTGATGAACGTTAAGACTTGAGCTGAAACACATAACTGCAATAAACTCAATGTAAGACAAAAGAGATCGAGGATATCAATTTGCATAATCCATCAACAAGAGAACAAAGGCAAATCCGAATGCAACCTTAGGATATTCCCTACCATCCAGTAACTTTTACCCTCAACCCGCCAAAAAGAGGAGCATATTCACACAAAGACATTAGAGAGAAAGACCAACATTTCTATATAATGGCCTGAATCTAGCCGGCATTTTGCTGTGGACCATGTCCATTCGTGGTAGCTTGATATAGCGCCTGCATTAACATCTCGTAATTTGAAGCCGCCTCTGGCTGTCGTAAGATAATGTCATGGACAACACCCAGCTGGGAAACATCAGCATTCGGAGCCTGCTGGAGGAGTTGCTGAATTGCAGGAGCATTTGCCTGGGCACCCAGCACCTGCACTGCGGCTGCCAAACCGGTGACAGGCATCTGATTTTGTGGCTCTGGAGGTTGATACTCATGGGACTGAGAGGCCGATTGAGTTGGCGCTTGCTGCAACTGCGCCTGCTGTGTTTGCTGGGGTTTTTGAGGCTGGGGAGCATAGGAATTATGGGCTGGAGTTGTGCCTGAGATGGCGGATGGCGGAGTGGGAGACATCTGCGACATATGCCTCGGTCCAGGTGTCAGAAACTGGTGTTGCTGAGGTGTCGCTGCGACGGTGACAGGGCTTGCAAAAGACGCAGGCTCCTGACTTGGATGGTGTGATGATGGCTGTACTGAAGGAGGATTCGAATCGCCCGTTTTGACCGCGAAGACCACCAATAATACTCGCTCTGGTGTAGGGTCTTCAAGTGTATTGTTTTCTAAGAGCTCGATAAATTCGGGCTTCTTGGTCGATCCAGCCTCGATGGGAATTATGTAGGTATCTTTGACGGCCGGCAACGGATGCTTTCCGACAACTCCGTATCGCTTCCGGTCTTGAAAATAGTTGAAGAGCTTGTCGAACCCTTTTTGATCTTTGGGAGAATCTGGGCGACTGATGGCGATGACTGAAACGTCCGTTGAGGAACTGAAACGCAGACCACAGAGATAATTGCTCGCCAGCTGAATGTCAATTCGCCCATCGACCACCAAGGTCGACGGTGCAAGCTGACTCCACGGTATCCTGTCACTTAGTTCAGCTCCTCCAACATGCTTCGCTGAAGATAAGAAATCAGCCACCGGGTTCATGACAACCTTCCCACGCCAGATGATCCCCTCGTCGTTAAAGTCTTTCGGGGAATAGGGAGGCGACTCGGGTTCAACGTCTTTCAACAACTGGTCGATCTCTGCATCAGCCTGGGCCTTGCCAGTCGGCAACATCTCACGTATGTGAGTTGAGACCTCTGGAAAGACTTGGTCATGATCAGCGGTGCCAGGAGAATGCACGGTAGGCCCATCTCGAGCCTTGGTGTCCGTCACTTTGGTGTCGATAGGTAGCGGTTTGGCAGCTCTTGGTGCACCGTCATCCGGCTGCTGATGAGCCTGGGGACTCGCTGGACTTTGATCTGAAGGGCTTGCATCGACTTCAGCCACGCTTCGGCGGGTCGGTGCTGCTGAAAATACTGGCTCGCTGGCGATGGTTTGATTCTCATCTTCAATGAACTCTTCGCCTTTATGAGTTCGCCTTATTCGTGGACCTTGCTCCTCCACGATGATGTGCTGCCTCTCGGCCTCGCGCTTGATTTCGGCATCTTTCTGCTGGAGCTCCTCACTTGCCATATCCTGACTGCTCATCTTAGAGAGCGCATCTGGAAGCAAACTACCTACGAGCAGGCGATCCCGTAGAGAAGGATTCTTCTTTACGTTGAACAAGATCGTCCGCAGTTGTAATTTATATGGTTCAGTGGGTTCTCCGGATCCTCCGCAAATATTCTGATACATAGCCTTCTCGATTGAAAGACCGAGCTGCTGCGCTATCTCTTTCGCCGATCTTCCCTCGGATAATTTGAAAGACCCTTGCTTCTGTGCATCAGAAATTTGATCTACAAATAACTTGACTAGAGCACTGGCAGCACTTCTCCTTGCTGGGTTTGAGATCTCGTCCAAAGTCCCCGATTCCTGCGCCGCGGTCTTTTCAGAAACGGAGCTTTGGCGCGAAGGAGGAGCATTCGAATCTTCTTTCAAAGGAGCAGGCTTGTCATTGGGAGGAGTCACTGAATCAGCTGGTGAAGCCATCTTCAATTGCTTGGGTTTTGGTCCCTGCTGATAGATATTAGCAACCGTCACTATTTCCGTCAGTAAAAAGCAGAAACAGTCAAGTCTTACAGTCTCGGAGGTCGCAGCCTCTTGATGCACCTCAAATTTCCTCTTCTGAGTGCTCGCTGGGCGGGCATCAGGAGCCTCACCGTTCTTCTCGGGGACGGGGGTCACAAGGGGCGGAGCGGCCAGTGGAACAGAAGGAGTGGGAGCGGGCGTTGCAGAAGCCGCTTTATTGCGGGCTGGGGTGCTTGTATCCGGTTTGGGCTCGCTTGGCCTGCCCTTTCTACCACCTTTCCTGCCTTTTCTGCGACGTGCTGCCTTTTTTTCTTCGGCCTGCTGGCGTCTCTTCTCGGCTGCTTCCTCCCAAGGCTTCTCACCACGCGCAATCTTGTCCAAGAGAACTTTATGATTCTCGGGTCGGCATAGTTCACAGAAGTATTCGTCGGGCTCCTCGCCTTTCGCAAATGTGAGGCCCATGCAGTCATTGTGTTGCCAGGCGGAGCACTGGTCACAGCAGATCATATCTCGTTCAATGTCTTCCTCCTCTTCATATTCTCCGCATATACATCGAATGATTTCTTCTTCTTCGCTGACGGCAGGCGTCGGTTCGACGGAGGGTTTCGGAGGCTTCTCATGTCTTTCCTTCGGTTGAGCTTTCGGTTTCGATTTCTTCGCAGGTGTCTCGGTTATCATATCCAGGTTCTTGTGTTGGCCTTTCGTAGAGCGACCAGACCGACGTGGTTCTTCTGATCTCACAGTTAGCGAGCTATTCAGTCATGGTTCGGGGGTTGCATCCAGACGCCACAACATCGGTTGAGTTGACGCGCCGGTCACAAAAAGATGTACTATAGGCTTACCAGTCATCATGGGCATATGATATGGCAAAGGATTTCAGAATATCTACAGTCCTTGGCAGGGTAGGTGTTATTCCAAAGACAAGTTGTGCAGGCCTCCCAACAGCTGGCTTTCTACGGCATCCGAGGGGCTAAAGTAATACGCAGGGGAAAGGATGGACAGTGGCACTGTTGCCTGGCCCACACAGGTATTACTTGATCCTCCAAAGACTCTCCCTGCTTTATTCAACGAAGAACGCGTGCGAACCCAGTGTATCAGCAAGCTGGTGTGGGCCTTTTGGAGGCTTCTGTCGCGCAGAGTTCTAGCGTGAGGAGTCGCGTGAGTATCGTCCTGCAGGGGGCGTCCCTTTGGAAACAGTGGATCTGATAATTTCAATCAGAAATATTGCTGGTCGCGACAGTAGTTCGTATAAGATTCGGCGTTGAGCAAACGCCAAAGGATGAAAATGCGATGAGAGAGGGAGTTGAGGGAAGGAATGAAGGAGAGGAGATGTCGTGCTACTTGTAGTGAGTAATCAGGCACGTGACTGCGGCTCGGTGGGGGGAGGTCTTGGCAGACGCCAGTCGCTTTCCGTCGCGTAAAGTACTTCTCGGTGTCGTGAAAGCTTCTCCAGATCCCCACATCTCGACAACCACGCTTTCTCACAAAGCTTTGTTGATCTTACTGAAGTACTCTCAGGAGATTTATTGTACTCACTTTTCTTTTCACTCTACTAGTCCATTTACTGGAATGGCAGATGTTCGCTCGTTACTTCGAAATGAGCTTGCTGCTCGCAAGGGCGCACCGCAGGCAGGAAGTACCGGCAATCGAGTTACCAAGAAGCGGAAGGTCGATATCACGGATGACCTGACACGAAAGAAGATGAGACCTGGTGAAAACATTGCAGATTTCCAATCACCGACAGTACATACTGTACAATCACCAAGCGCCCAAGCGATCGAGGAAGTGGAGGACGTCGAACAACTAGAACAAGAAACTGCTGGCCCAGGACTTCCGCCGGACTCGGAAGCAGCCCAAGAGCAGACCCAGGCACAGTCTGAGCCGTTGCCCGAATCAAATACATCTCAAGCCATCGATGAGGACGAATGGGCAGCCTTTGAGCGTGAGGTGGTGGCGCCAACTCGTGTGCCTCAGGCACCTGCTGCAGTTGCTGCTGCAGCGACGATATCAGCCGCGCCAATCTCCGCCGAGCAACTTGCTGCCCAGCAAGAGGCAGAAAAGGAAACGTCAACACAAACACGTGAAGCTGAGATCGAAGGGGAACGAGAAGACGCGGCTCGATTCTTGGAAGATGAATTCGATGAAATGGAGCAGCTTGAAGAACGGATCAGGCGGTTGAAGCATAAGAGGGAAGAACTAAGACAGAAACGAGCCAAGGAAGATCCGGAGATAGCTCAAACAGAAGGATCCTCATCCAGGAAAACACAGCAGAATGATGAGCCTAAACAAAGCGACGAAGAAGAAAACGATGACGATGACGATGTGGATGACGATGACTGGGACAACTGGAGATTTAGGTAATGATGAAATTGAGATCAGCAGTAGTTTTGGGAACGGCGCCATTTCATAAAGGGAGGACTGAACTCTTCACATTTACATTGATACCCCCATACATCGAGTCATGAGCTCTACGGATACTCTACAATGACGTTTGATACTTTCTTCTGTGCCATCTCTGTCGACAGGCGGCTTTGATGGGTTCTTTTTACTGGCTTTACAGACAATAGTGCAGGCAACTCTAACAGGAGGTATTGCTGTTACTTGTTAAGGCTCCAGCCACTTCTTCCACAAGTGTGTCAAAGAATGAAGAAATCGGCCAGATTGGGAACAAGCATTTATCTGCCTTGGGTCTTTATGAAAAATAGAAATTGATTATATTTATACAGCGAGTGGAACATCTCCGAAGTACTTCCAAAGTCAAGAAGCTTCAGAGCTTTTCTCCTGTGGTACTTCTACCGAGTACTGGTTTTCAGCTTCCAGGTAGCTCCTGATACCCTCCTTGCTGACTCTCATAGCTTCCTCGATCTCCGCCTCACCTTCTTTCAGAAGGTGCCTTCCGCGGACAAGATCGCTTTGTTGCTTTCTTTTCTCTTCCTGAACTCGTTTCTCGCGTTCAGCTAGAGCCTTCTCGCGCTTCTCACGCTCCATTCTCTTCTTGTCTAATGCCTCAAGCTGTTCTGCATTCATGTGCTCTTGCTCTGGCGGCGGTGGCAAAGTAGAGATATAGGCCTCAAGTAGTGGGTCGCGCACTTTAGGTGGCAATGAGATATACCTCAGGTCCGTGATGATTGCTGAAGGAAGAGCTTCTAGGTTCGATGATCGGTTGAAATCTTGTAATGGTACTGATTTCAGCAAGGCCGAGAAATCAGACTTTCGGGTGCTTTCAGGTAGCTTCAATCGCGAGATCAAATCTCTATAGAATTTCTCACGGTCTTTGTCCGATAGCTGGGAATCTTTCATCTCGGGCTCTTTCCTGTACCTGCGTTTGAATTCAGGCCAATAGAGCTTGGGAGTAGCGTGCTCCTGGAGGAAAGCGAGATACCGGATACGAGGATCCTTCCTTTCCTGCTTCTCTTTCAGTTCTTTCAGCTGCTGTATACGATCACGACTCCAACTAGACCACACCTCACGGCGTGTCTTCATGTTTGGCAAAACAGTATAGCGGCTGTCGTCTATGATGCGGCCTTCTTCAATGATCTTCTCCCACGTAGAGTAGGGATTTACGTGATAATCATCGAGAAGGTCACGGAAAAGCGCTGTAGCATCTTCCTCAGTAAGTGGCAACCCTTCTGCGCCCTCCTCCCAGCCTTCCTGACCAGGTTCGCCATATTCTCCCGGATCCAGGCCGTATTCTTCTCCCATTGCTGCGAGTTGATACTCGATATCTTCTTCTGTGAACTCTAAAGGTTGCTGTTGGTCATTGTCATCTTCGGTCTTCGGACGTTTAGAGGGTTGATCATCCTCTCCCTCGCTATCAGTAACTTCAACTTCTTCGTACTCATCACTGTCTTCCATCGCATCTGCGGCTGTACCGGGATCCTGTACGCTACCAGGTTCCGCGGAAGGACCGACTTCGTCTAATCTCTCTTTCCCCTTTTCTCCGGATTCCTCAGCTTCTTCGGCACGAGCCTTCCGTTCCCTATTTTCTCTTTCCAAACGATCGTACTCCACCACTCCTTTCATTACTTCGGGAGGAAATTTCCAGAGACTTTCGTTCGTTTCAGGGTTGTGAACAAATCTTCTCCCCAGTCTCGTCTTCACCAGCACCCACGGCTCGCACCCGGGAATGGCGTGTTTTGATTTCGGCCTATCCTCGGGCCCTCGATTGTTGCGGTCGCGGAACCCTTTTCCACCTCGAAATCCACCCCTAGAATGACCATGATGAGGAAGCCCACGGAACTGGTCGCCGAAGCCATATCCTTCAGGCGCATACGGTGTGGAAGAGAAAGGGGGAAGAGTGTCTGGAATAACAAACGGAGCTGGAGCGGGAGGGGCGGGTTGCACTTGTGAAGGAAGCGGTTGCGGTCTCGTGTACGTAGATTGCTTCGTCTCCGCGTTGTAGTAATAGAGATGTCCTATCTTGTAGTCAGTAACTTGAGCTCTGAAGAATGCAATAAAGAAACCAACCTGAAGGAGCTTTATGTTCCGTCCACCCCGGCGGTAATGGAGGAGGTGGAGTGTAGGTAGATCTGAGCATTCTAACCACTCACTGTCTGTGACGTGATGAGGCTATGTGGGAAATTGTAAATTGCTACTATCAGAAAGACATCATTCGTAAGATGTGGACTGTGCCAATGATAAAATTTCATAAGAGATCTGAAATGGGGTTGCGCCAGTAGAGAGAGCTCTCTTCGTATGAGCATGGAGATTTAGAAGTGGTCCGAGCTTGGCAGATGGACTGGCAGGACGCGCCAGGGCGAGTTGCCTGGTCACTTGGAGCTCACCTTGCTCGCTCACATAGCTTAGGTACAACACAGCTTCATACCTTCCCACAGCACTCTACCGCCCGATCTACTTTCATCTATCTTTTGATCTTCTCTCATTGTCATAGTCTCCAGACATACTGCAAAATGTCACGGAGATACGATTCCAGGGTACAACCATTCCGTCATTCCGTCACTTGCTCCAGCTAACCCGGCGATGCCCAATGTAGACAACCATCTTCTCCCCCGAAGGTCGACTTTATCAGGTGGAGTATGCGCTCGAAGCTATTTCACATGCTGGTACAGCTCTAGGAATCTTGGCCAAGGATGGAATCGTCCTTGCTGCAGAGAAAAAGGTGACCAGCAAGCTGCTAGAGCAGGACACATCTGCTGAGAAGCTCTACACACTGAACGAGTATGCATTCCCAACGGAGAGAATCTTTCTCATCTTCGTTACTTCGGTACTGATTCATTACTAGTAACATGATCTGCGCAGTTGCCGGTATGACTGCAGACGCCAATATTCTCATCAACTATGCCCGACAAGCCGCTCAACGCTACCTCCTCACTTACGGCGAAGAAATTCCCTGCGAGCAACTCGTTCGTCGGTTGTGTGACCTGAAACAAGGATACACCCAGCACGGTGGTCTCCGTCCGTTCGGTGTCTCGTTCATCTACGCAGGTTACGATCCTCTGAGAGAATTCCAACTGTACCAGAGCAACCCCAGCGGGAACTATGGTGGTTGGAAGGCCACTAGTGTGGGAGCAAATAACGCGAGCGCCCAAAGTCTGCTCAAGCAAGATTACAAGGAGGACTGCGACCTGAAGGAAGCGTGTGCCATGGCCGTCAAGGTTTTGAGCAAGACAATGGACTCGACAAAGCTCAGCAGTGAGAAGAGTAAGTGACCCACAATGATTTTATCGCATTCAGTTCGTGTCGTATCACTTTCAATATTTTTGATATATTCCCGCATAGTTGGCTGACTGAAGTGCTTACCTACCCAGTCGAATTCGCAACGGTGGGAAAGACCAAGGAAGGGAGGATCTACCACCATCTGTGGAATGCGGAGGAGATCAATGCTTTACTGAAGGAACATGGTTTGGCCAAGGTCGACGATGAGCCCGAGGCTGGTGATGTCAAATAACCTACGAGACAATGCTCCCTTTTCGGTAATTTCGTCATACAAATCACGTTCTGAGATTTCCAATTCCCAAAAATGACATATAGTTGAACCTGGTAGTCGAAAGCTTTGCAGAGGATGTTGCAAATGCTGGTGAGATACCCTGAGTACACGTAGCAGCTGTTCTGGGCCACGGTTGCATTGAAATTGCACTCACATTATTCGGTGGTGACGTGGCAAGCATGGAACGACCTGGGGTTCAATAAACATATATTATAACTCTAACGCTTCCTCTCGTACGAAATCTCGCAACCTGATGCAGCTGGTTAAGGATGATGACCTGACAGAATGGTCCACGTAGTCTCGTCGGACTTGTATGATCTCAGCGCTTAATTAATCCTTTGAATAGCACCTGCTGAAAGAGTCCTCAAATATGACAGCGCGCCCCCTATCTGTCAATTCTTCAAACAAAGACAAAGCCGTGGAAAAGATGCAGGAGCTCAAACTGATGTCGTCTCAACAACATTTCACAGAGCAAAGTATATCTTGTATTGGCTCTCCGTCAACCAAGCAAGAGGTTGAGCGACCCTGAGAGCTCACGGCACTAGACGAAGTCATCAGTGGAGCAACAGATGGGAAGACATGCGGTTTGAATAGCCTGTCTGTTTCTTGGATTAATGAACGGAAGTCTTTTGTTGCCTTCAGACCACAACCAGAACGCTTCGAAAGGAAAGAGAGCTAACTAGATATAGGTAAGTCACGTGAGTTTATCTACATTCCTCAAGAGGCGGGGTTTTTGTTCTCATTGTCATTCCATGGCAGCTAGCTATTCAGAATCGAGCTTTGGAAACAAAGCCATCTTCAGTTGGAACGTCTGGAACATCTGGGACAGACGTACATTTAGCACTGCGAATCAAGGTATACAGGTGCAGTAAATTATTAAAATCCATCATATTTCCCACTGGTGGAGTTGGTGAACCGCTCATCGGGAACGCAGGCGCTTATGAGTTGGAGGTTCTTCAGGCGACGGTTTCCCGTTCCTGCAACATCTCAAGGGAATGGAAATTATCATTGGAAGACCATGACTTAGATGCATTAAGTCTACAGTCGTCAAGGCTTTTCCTCCAACCATCATATGGGTCTCCCCGACTTATGAATCGGTTCGAAACGATGATACTGTCAAACCACAGTCAAAGTGGCAACCTCTTGAGACAGCAGTTGATGGACCAGAGCATAAGCGACAGAATAAAGGCTTTACAACAGAGGGAATCTTGAAACAGAAACAGAACCACCAAGAAGGCTAAGAAATGCCTCTTTCTAGACACCATTGAGCTCGGAGATCTCACTTTCATGAGAGTGCTTTTCTTCGATCTTCTCGCTCTCTCTGCAATTGGCAAATTTCTTTCTCCAGCTCCATTATGAGCTTTTGCGATCGGTCCATAGAGGCCACAAGTGTGCCTCCTTCACGTTTCCACCTGTTCAGACGTTCCATCTCGGCGCTTCGCCGTCGGTACTTGGTTTCGATCTTGTCGCAGAGTCGACACTTTGTCGTCTCATACTCAGTCATATTGACGAGCCTCATGCCACATGTTTCGCCCGTCCGGTACTCATAGTTGCAGCGGTGAGCAAAGCTGGTCCAGCTCCAGTCTCCGCATGCAAATCTCTTTTGGTTGTAGAAGCACATGCCTATCAGATCCGTCAGCAGAGTCCGCTCTGGGGTACTGATCAAACTCACTTGACCGTCCAGGATCGTTGTTTCAGCTTTTTCGATATATTTGATTGGTCCAATTCGAGGGCCCTACCACTATGCACTATATGATAGGCCACAAATCAAGATGGCCAATTGAGGAACGAAAACAATATAAGAAGCTGAAACGCTTTATATCAAGAAGAAAGCTTTATCACTTATGAGATTCCCTGATGTTGCCAGGTCTGAAACTAACAGTGATTGAAACCTCATATAGACGAGGGACTGAAGGGCCCTATTTATGTTTTGTGAGATCTACCATGTTACAGTTCAGCTAGTTCCCTATTGTGCGTACCCATCCAGTCCATCGTCAATCCAGGAACCCCCCTCAGCACACAATGGCTTATCGAATCCGGCGAACTATCATCACATCCGCATCACTCGCTGCGAATCACCCTTGCGGTTGGCTGTGATGGCTTCGCCGAAGCAGTGGGGTTGCAAAAAAAGGCCCAAATGGACCCTCGACGGGGCAATGGCAATGAGTGATTGCTTCATGATGCATGCATCTTGCTGTCGTGGCCGTGTCTTTTCTTCTTCGGAGTTGAATCCAAACTTCGAAAATGCCTCATTCAACATCACTCGCACGTCCAGATTGGATCACCATTACTGCCTTGGCTACTCAATTGATTATCCCCGCTTCGTCCAGGTAAAACATTCCATATCAAGCCGTCCTTGCGAACCAAGCACGTCCTTTCCCGTCTTTTTGAATCAAAGCTCCTGCATGAATGGGCTGTCTCGTGCCAACTATGATGCCGTCTTGCGATCAAACTTTGGCTACGTCCAGGACGCACCTCGCATTCTAATGAGCGGAATGCAGGCTTCCATTTCTCGGTATACGAGCCCGGTCTATCCGATTCAAGCCCAAGATCTCGCCAGGAAAACTCGCTGACATCCAATCGATTTGAACCCTTCTCAAAATCTTTACTATGAACTTGGGACGAAAGTCAAACTTGGTGGCTTGGGAAGTAACTTGCCTATGGTACTTTTTCGCTTCTTTCTTTTGCTCATTTTCCTCTTGCGGAACAGGGCGTTCAATGCCCGTAGCCAGTCATTCTTCAACTATACCATCCATACATTCGTTCTTCCATCCATCGGCTGCAGGGATATCATACCTCGAGTCTGCAGATGTCTTCTGAATTCCGCGTCCTCCCGTTTCGTTGTTGCAGCCCAGGTTTATCACTTTCCTAGTGGCAAAAGACGCGTCACTAAAGGATATCGATTGGCATTCATTGCACCATTGCCATTAGTCCTTGAGGCTGATGTGGTGAAAGTGGTATGATAAACTTCAGTTTCTTGCAAGGAGGCGTTTCTTTCAGCTGATCTCTTACATCTGCAGACGAGTAATCCTGCATCTGCCCCCACCCATGTGCAGGCTGTGGCTTCATCCGCTTGCCTTGCTCGTCCCAGGTGATAGGGCATTACTTGATCCATCGAACATGGCAGAAATTGACTGCGGTATGGTGCACACACTGTCGATACCCATGCATCTGCGCTAGAGCTCAGAGTCTCTCTGACGTGGCGTCCTTCGTCTGGCCCAGGAGATATGGATTTATGTACCTTGAGACTACTGTGAGTGCTCCAAAGTCGAGATCATCAACTCGCAACTCTGGATCACTGTGCGAGGAACTCGTTTCGTCTGCCTTCATTCGGGCAAGCCAGGGTACCGCCTAAGGATCCCCACTTACCCGAACATCCTAGGCCGCCCTCTAATGCAATCACCTTCAGCCTGTTTTTGTCTTCTTTGTTCTGGTGCGGGATCATCGGACAGCTTGATTTGATGATTCCTAAATTGAGGGCTCGAGCAATGGATTCAGGTTGGGGTGTTGGTTGACAACTCAGCGGTCGTCGGGTGCTGGCTTGTAGCCGCAATGACAGCAGGGAAAGCCCAGTGTGCTACTGTGGAAGAATCGACCAAGCCTACCTCCATAATGCGATTTGCCACCCTTTCAAGAATGTTTTACACACCTTCTGCTGTAGCGTGTTATGATCTCAACAGCAAGGATCAGGCTGAGCTAGTCTAGCATCGGTCCTTACGACCCAGCCAAGTTCCTCCCTCGTGTGGGAGTCTGACAGGTTTAACCTGGTTGGCATTGATGCAAATGGTCAGTACGAGCCTCTTGGAGCTCTTTGAATACGTCCCATCGACGTTCAAATTGAATTTTACGACACACATGTACTTCCCATCATACCGGGTTCATCTGGTCCCGTGATCACAAAGCCGACGGAGGCTCCTGCACATTCAAGCAGTGGGTTTTTTGCAGGTAGCAAATCGAAACTGTTATTCTCAGCAGCGAAATTTTAAGGTGAGAGTGCATTTCCGCCGTGTTATACCTACGCAAATGTATTGGCTAATGGTAGAATGCATGCGAAAAACCATCATTCGGCTGTGTCCAATCAGCGCTCTGCACTCGCTGACAGCTTTATGCAGCTAAAAGAACACCCTACTTAGGTGCCGGCTGCAAATTTGGAGCTCAGAATGTCTGAGTGAAAACATGATTGGCTGACAAACAGGACAGTGCCAATTGGACATTAATAAATGCTAGGTCGCATATGCAAGTTCCCTCCTGCAAGAGTCCACTTAGGTGCTTTCACTCCCATTCTGAGAGCCGTGAATTGGACATATTACTGTTGCCTCATTCGGCCCGTGAGAAGAGGAGCCCTTGTCTACTCCAGTCAAGTGGCCAAGTCAACACCTCGAGCAGCTTACGCTCAAGAGATGGAATAAGGGCACCTAGCGCCTAGTGATGCTGATATGCGAGCGAACCCAAATGGTTCTTCGGCGGTTCCTGATTTACCGAAATTGGGCTTGAGAGTAAGTCGATATCGGCGCCTGGACGGCTCTGCGGAGACGCATGAGCGTACCGAATCCCCAGACAGTTATAGTAACTTCGACGCCTGCACCGTAGTATCGCTCAGGTGATGTTTCCAACAGATTGACGTGGTTGAACGGGTTAGATTTGTTATCAAGTCATCAGCTCGCCAATCGTGGGTGCGTCGTAGTCTCAGTTTCGCGATGGAAGTCAGTAATCTCCCTACTCAGCCAAGCCAGGACTAATTGATGAAGTCTGGCTGAACAGTTGTGCTTCTACTTTCATCAAATGTATCCTTCTCTCCCGTTAGATCCTATCACTGTTCAAGAAAATAATTGCTGCGCCATCTGTGTAGCTTGCTTTGGATACGGCCAAAGGAATAGAAACAAAATGCAACTCTCAACTAATAGGGCAACCTTCGCTTGCAAGCTGCATACTTGGAATGGAAAACCCTTGATCAAGAAGTGTGTACCACCGTCATCACGTGGCAGAGCAGGTTTCTAAGACACCCTGGAGAGGGATGACGTCAACATGATTGATGAACAAAAAGCGTCGACTCGACACGGTCTCTTTTCAACTCCTTTTAATATCTCAAATCATTATACGTCCAAGACTTAGAAAGGCAAGTTTTCAGAAGAGATGCCTGAGAAAGATTTGCTTAAAACTAATTGTGATCTAGTGATAAGGCGGCCCATCTTCTTCTACAATTGGTGGTTTTAGTCTTCCAGCTTTAAGAAACCAGCCTTGTTCCTACACTTTATCCACTTAGACCGTGAAATAAATATCTTGATCAATCTTTTATCATGACGATGCTCAAGAGCTTCATATCGGTTGGTCAATTGGGCCACAATGCCGCCAGAATCGCCCGGCGAGTCCGATTCCAGCCAGCCTTTCAGACACCCGTCACTGCCGTGCGACAGAGGAGAGCTTTTCGCTCGCTCCCATGCTTGCGGGCATCCGAAGAACAGCCAAGAATACATGACAGAAACGAACTAGATCCCCAGCGATCTGAGACCACAAAGACCGGTACCGACAATGAAGTCGCGAGCCATCACGCGGCCTACGATCCAAATACCACTTCCCCCGAAAGCGAAATCGATCAAGCCGAGCAGGAAACCAATCAGGGAGGCAAAGTCAGCAATCCCTTGGACGTAAGTCCTGCGAACAAAGATGTTAGTGGAGCACGCGATCCGCAAGAAGGAGGCCCGGACCACAACGCGGAGAAGGCGGGACCAAGCAGGAGAGGATCGCCGAGGAAGGGAAAGGAGGTACACGTGGGAGGTAGAAAATAAGTGCAGTCTTTTGTTAAGGAACTCAAGGCGCGAGGCGTGGCTGGCAGACCCGGCATGGATACACTTTGACCTTGTCACATAACGTTCGCAATATATGCTTCGGAAGCAATACTCTCACTGAACGGCAAAGAACATCTAAAAGCAGATACCTTCTCGCGTATATCCAGTAACTCATAAAATACAACGATAATAAAGAGGATATATCAAACAATTATGCCTTCATCGAGGTTGGTGCAGACTGAAGCTATTGTTTCCCTCCGTATTTGATGATGTCACTGCCGCCCAAGACCCATACTTTCTCGCTACCAGGAGGAACATCACCGTCCAGAGCCTTGAGGCCTGCATTGACTGCTGCTCGAGCAATAACGTCTGCATCCTGAGCCCACCCATCTTTCAATCCCGAATGAACCTTCCCGGCAATGCCAGCAATGAACCGGAATGCCGCTTCCGCTGGTCGACTCTCCTCCCGTTGGCCGGAGATCAGACCTGGGCGCAAAATCACCGTTCTCTCGAATCCCAGGGCCTTCACATCCTCTTCAATCTCCCCTTTCATACGGGGATACGCGAAAGATGACGTCTTACTCGCTCCGCTAGACGAGATCAGGACATAGACTTTTGTACCGGCATCGCGCGCTGCGCGAGCCATTTCTACATTCAGACCATGCTCCACCTTGTATTGGTTCTCGAACCCACCAGCAGCAGCACGAGTAGTGCCAAAGGCGGATATGAAGATGGATGGAGTTGGAGTGAGAGAAGAGAGCTGGCCAGCCCAGCGAGATGTATCATCGGATACAAAGGTGGTGAGTTTTGTCTGAGGAGCGGCGGCAGCAGTGGATGGAGTGCGGCGGGAGATCGTATCTACCCGAGCTACAGCGGAATTTTCGAGAAGGCTAGTGAGGATGTGACTGCCCTAGGATTTTGAAGGTTGAGTGAGGAGGAGATTCGCATGTGGCGAAGAGTGATCTTACCACCATCCCAGTAGCCCCTATCAAAGCCACATTCGCCATGATGTTCGGATATATACAATGGCAGCGCTGGTATCAGAAGCGTAGGCTGTACAGAGTATGTATGTACAATGTGCCTGATCAAAACACAAGGGACATGGCTTTTAGAGATCTAGAGATAACATTCTTCAGGCGCGATCAAATGACGTACGAACTGGGGCTAGACTCAGATGGGGCTGTTGATGCCCCAGGCACTATCATGCACGTGCTGAGTGCATGAGATCTGACTAATGCGGGGAGAGTCCGAAGATGGAGGATTCTCCCCCAATTTGCCGCTGGAGATATTTATCGATAAGAAATTGCGTGATTGCCGCTAACCGCTTTTGGCAAGGCCCTCTGGACATTTTCTATACTCCAAATCCGTCTTCTTATTCCCATTGTCCCCCTCCTCAGCCTGGTGTGGTCATTCCTTCGTCTTTGTCTTCCTCTTGTCATCTGTAAGGTGTCGGCTGAGTGTGTCCGGTACCCAGACAAGAAAACCTCAAGATGGGCTCTCCTTCACCATCTTTGTCTACACTCGGTGGCCCTACATATGTCACTGCCCAAACGTTGATCCAACAAGTCGCCTACATCCTCAGCGACAAGATCTTCTCCTATTCCCCTGAGTCTTTCGAGCTGGACAACGCCCTGCGTGAATGGGCGTCGCGTCAGGAAACCAATGCCAATGGCGAATCTACCGTCATCAAGGCTATGGAGACCCGCCAGGGTGCTGGTAACATCGCCCTCGGTTATCTCTTCTCTCAAGATTTCGATCTGAAGAAGCGCCATGTCCCTCAGGGTATCGTTGCTTCTTCGGCCACTCTGCCCTACATGCGCTCGGCTCTGGAGCAGCTATCTCTTTTGTATTCAGTCGCTAGCCCTGTTGCTGCGCACGTTGCCGCCGTTGATTACGCCGGTGAGGACGGGCTGCTCTCGGATTATGCCTCCGCGCTCTCTCTTGCTGAAGAGCTTGGCCTGGGTCTTGTTTCAAGTGCCTCCGTGCATGAGGCTCAGCATATGGCGCTGCTCACGACCCTCCTCGCTTCCGTCCTGCCCTCTGTTCACATCTATGACGGTGTCCGCGTTGGCCGTGAGAACACCCGTGTCATTGATGTTCTGGATCAGGCGGGCGTTGCGCGCACCTACGAGACCATTCGCAAGACCTTGGATGAGTCCCGTAACCGTCACCTTGACACCCAAGGAAAGGTTCTGGACTTGCTCACGTCTCTGAACGGCGAGCTTGGCACAGACTATGGTCTTTTCGAATACCACGGTCACGCCGAACCCGTTTCTGTTCTGGTTGCTTTCGGTACCGTCGAGGCGTCTCTCACTGCGCAAGTTGCTCGCTCGTTGGCAAAGGACGGTGCCCGCGTCGGTGTTGTCAATGTGCGCGTTTACCGTCCCTTCGTTGAGGAGGAATTCCTGCGTGTTCTCCCCCAGTCGACCAAGACTGTGGGCGTCCTTGGTCAGGTTACCAATGAGCAAGCTGTGCAAGAGCAAGGTGTCCGCTCCGCCCTTTACGAAGATGTGCTTGCGGCGTTGACCTTTGCTTCTGGTCGGGAATATGCGCCTACCTGCATCGACATCAAATACCCTCGCTCTCAGCGTTGGAACCTGATAAACACCGCCGCTGCCTTCCAACTCATCTCCGAAAAGCCCATTGTTCAGGCCAACGGCGAAAGCGCCCCTCTTCAGCTTATCGACCCTGCTACCGTGCAGGAGTACACTTTTTGGGATGTCGACAGCTCTGCTTGCGAATCTGCTGCTGCTGTTCTCTCTGAGGCCCTTGCTGCTGATTCGGCCAGCAATGTCACAACATCTAAGTCTCATGACAACCTTGTCCAGGGAGGAGCCGTCCGTATCGACATTCGCAAGAGCTCCAAGATTCTCGATGCTCCTTATGCTATTACTGCTGCGGACACGACATACGTTGGAGACATCAAGCTTCTTGGAGATATCGACATTGCCGCTTCCATCAAGGACAATGGCAAAGTCATCATCAACGCCCCTGGCGTCAAGGACGATGAGCTAGAAAAGAAACTGCCCTTGGGCTTCAGACAGGCCGTTGCTCAGCGTGGAATTTCTCTCTACGTCGTCGATCCATCGGCTGCCGGTGACTCTGCTCCTGAATCCGTCATCCTCCAGTCAGCCTTCCTTAGAGTAGCACTTCCCTCTCAGGAAGCCGTTGGCATAAAGAAGCTTTCTTCGATCATTAGGAACCCCGAGGCTCTTGAGAATGTCACCAAAGACCTTGACAAGCTTCTCCGTCAGATCGAGATCCCTGAGGCTTGGAAGACTTCCGAAGAGGGAACTGAGGCTTCTCAGCTTCCCAAGGATATCTCCATCAACAGCTTCGTCCCCTTCGATAAGGATGAAGCGGAGCCAGCTCCTCTCCTCAATGATTGGCAGGCTGCAGCCAAGGGTCTCGCATTCAAGGAGGCTTATGGCACCAAGACAGCTCTTCGCCCCGAAACGGCCACGAAGACTTTCACCGTTCACGTCAAGGAGAACAGACGCTTGACCCCCGTCACTTATGATCGAAACATCTTCCACATTGAGTTCGATCTCGGTGACTCTGGTCTTAAGTACGATATTGGCGAAGCCCTGGGTGTGCACGCTGAAAATGATCCTCAAGACATTTCAGAGTTCATTGCATTCTATGGTCTCAATCCCGACGATGTTGTTGGTGTTCCTAGCCGCGAGGACCCAGCCGTTCTTGAGAATCGCACCGTTTACCAGGCTCTGGTTCAAAACGTTGATATCTTCGGCCGGCCGCCTAAGCGCTTCTACGAAGCCCTCGCGGAATTCGCTACCGACGAGAAGGAGAAGATTGACCTTCTCACCCTGGGTGGTCCTGAAGGTGCCGTGGAGTTCAAGCGCCGTGCCGAAGTTGACACCATCACTTTCGCCGATGTCCTGCTTGAGTACCCCTCAGCTCATCCTGACTTCCACGACCTGATCCGCATCGTCGGTCCTCTGAAGCGCCGCGAGTACTCCATCGCTTCCTGCCAGAAGGTGACGCCCACCTCGGTTGCCCTCATGATCGTTGCTGTCAACTGGGTTGATCCCCGTGGCCGCGACCGCTTCGGTCTCGCCACCCGGTACCTAAGCCGACTTCAACCCGGCACTCCGGTCACGGTCAGCGTCAAGTCCAGCGTGATGAAGTTGCCACCCAAGTCCACTCAGCCCCTCATCATGGCCGGTCTTGGAACGGGTCTTGCTCCCTTCCGTGCCTTCGTGCAGCACCGTGCCCTCGAGAAGGCACAGGGCAAGGAGATCGGTGCGGTTCTCTTGTACATGGGATCCCGTCACCAGCGCGAGGAGTACTGCTATGGTGAAGAATGGGAGGCTTACCAGGAAGCCGGTGTCATCACCCTTCTTGGCCGTGCCTTCTCTCGTGATCAGCCTGAGAAGATTTACATCCAGGATCGCATGCGCGAGACTCTGCCAGAAATTATCCAGGCCTACATCCGGGAAGAGGGTGCCTTCTACCTCTGCGGTCCCACCTGGCCAGTTCCTGATGTGACTGCCGTGCTGGAGGAGGCGATTGCCACCGAGGCCAAGAACACAGGCAAGAAGGTCGATACTCGCAAGGAGATCGAGAAACTCAAGGATGAGGAGAGATATGTTCTTGAAGTCTACTAGATGGATTTCGTTTGGAAAAATTCTGTTGAGATTTCCGCTACGGTTGCTACACCCCCTACCAGTGTGCACGATGTGATGACCCATTTGTCCCACTTAAGTTTAGCGCTTCCACCATGAGACTCAACGATAGACTTGGATTTCTTCGATGACAATTCTTCAACCCATGTCATTTCCATAGACTCTAATTGCATTTCAAATATCCACCCGGAATCCAAAGGGTATCTGCTCTATTCCTCTATACCTGCAATGTAGACCCAACTGATAGCACAAGGCTTACGCCAACACCTTCTTTCCCCCAAGACAAACGCGTATTCATGTAGAGGTAGGAAAGAGAAAAGTATTGTAAACAATGAAAAATGAAATGGACATGGTCCTTCCAAAGTACCTACGCTCTTCCCACGGCTCCCAACTTCGTCTTACCATAAGCTCCACCTTTTTCTTTCCGTAGCTCTAATGCTCGCCGATAAGGCGGTGCCGTAGGTGGCTGAACAGGATCCAAGTTGACATAGTCCGGGGGCAAGGAGTATGAAGCATCAGAGTCCCAGGAAGAAAGATCGCCACAGGCAATAAATGGGGGAATCCATCTGTTTTCGACGGCGAAACGCTGGGGCTTGTTTGCCAGGGACGGGATTGAAGATTGTGGATGAAGCATGCAAGTTTGAGTTTGTTGGTTTGGTTTAGATGCAGATATCGTCGCTGCTTCCGAAAGTGCGACTGTCTCTCTTGGTGATACAATATCCTCGTCGGCCACTTCGACTCCGATGTTGCCATCCGCGGACACGGGATGTGGCACTGCTGCGCCGCCAAAGAGAGGGTTCTTCAAGGCTTCCATGCCGACCGACCCGTCATGGATGGCTGGAGGAATAAAGCCCTCGCAAACCACGAAGGCTTCTAAACTGCTCGCGCGACTGCTTCTCGGCTTCGCAACACTCACTTTCTCAAATACCGTCCGGAGCTGTGCGTAGATGAGGTCGACGTCGCGGCCTCGGAAGATCTTGGCTACGAATTTGCCTCCTGGCCTTAAGACGCCCACTGCCAGGTTTAATGCGGAGTAGAGGAGCTGTGACTGAATGTAGATGTCCAGATCGTGCAAGCCGGTGACGTCCGGTGCACCGTCAGAGATGACGAGATCGACAGGGTGAGGTTGTTGGATGGCCGAAGGGGAGGAGGAGGATGCCGATTCGTAAGCTTCAGGATCGAGGGCACGAAGGAGCAGAGGGATCGTAGACGGGTGCGTGATGTCGGCTTGAAGCGTTGTGATACCTTCCAATGGCGCCATGGGTTGAAGGTCAATTGAGACGATTTTCACGTTCCTTCTGGGCTTCAACTGGGCGATTTCGTCGTTCCCCGCTTCTTCAGTTGGCCCCTCACCTTCCGATCCATGATCGATTCTTCTCAACGCCTCGCGCTCTTTTCGCTTTTTCTCGATCCATGCCCGCCGGCCAAAGCTCTCTCCCTTGATCAGAACTCGACTGAGAACTTGACTCCAACTTCCGGGAGCGGCGCAAAGGTCAACGACTCGTGTCACTTTCTCGGGGTTTTCATGTTCGAACAGATCAAATTGTTCATCGATCTGAATCAGTTTGAAAGCGGAACGGGCACGCCAGTTTTGTTCCTTTGCGAGTCGATAGTAGGCGTCACGTTTATCCTTGGAGGATTTTCCCATTTTCACGAATTGATAGCAATGGGCCACAAGTCCCGGAATTGCAAGGTAGTGTGGATATATCAATTGGCCCCCAGCTGGATCTCTGACAGAAATTCAATGTGGGGGAGATGAAGCGATAAGATTAAAATCCGCAAAAAGGCGGGCCTCTTTTCTGCCGCTTTTTTTCATCTCCGTGAGCAAAAAAGATCATCACCGCTTCCATTGATTCGTGTCGCAAGCCACGTTTCTCCCGCCTGGCACCGTTCAGGTCGACATTGGAAATCATGGGCCAAAAAAGACAGCGTGACTCGAAAAGCTCGACCTTTCATGCCAAAAAGCGGAAGAAGGCTGAGAACTCGACGGCCGCACCTGATCCGGACGACGGCTGGGATGGTATCGTCGGCGCGGATGAGCTGAACTGGAGGGAAGTAGCTCTTCCTGACCGTCTTGAGGATGCTGGAGGATTTTTTGGTCTGGAGGAAATCGAAGGTGTTGATATAGTGCGAGGTTCGGGCAATGGAGAGGTTCGATTCAAGGTACGTTGAAACGCATGCTGACTGGTTGAAGAATGATCCATTGACACGCAACGATACCAGGCTGTTGCTGGAAAACCGAAGAAGTCTATTTTGAAAAAGAAGGCGCCAGAGCATGAGGAACCTAAATACGATGACGAATGGTCAGGCTTCAGCGACGATGACGCTGACCAGCCAGAAAACAATTCCTCACCCGCCGTAGAGGAACCTGAAAAGTCAGACACGAAGGCGGATAAGAAAATCGAGAAGAATGCCGACAAGAAGGAAGCCAGGGATGCAAAGAAGAAAGAAGCTCAAGTTGCGAAGAAGGAACAGAAGGAACAGAAGGAGAAAGGTTCGGCAATTCAGCACGATACGGGCATTAAAGCTGGCCTTTCGTTTTCCGCTCTTCAAGATGCGGAAGAGGATGATGGAGTCGATGTATCTGGTTGGGACTCATTGGGTCTCTCTCCCGAAATACTCACCGGTCTGTCCAAGATGAAATTCGCCTCTCCGACATCAGTACAAGAGGCTTGCATACCTCAGATCTTGGAGGGACATGACGTTGTTGGAAAGGCTTCTACGGGTTCCGGAAAGACGCTGGCATTTGGTATTCCCATCCTCGAACATTACCTGGAGAAGAATCGTGATGATGTCAGAGCAGGGGAAGGCAAGAAGTCAGAAAAAGACTCAATTCCAATCGCTCTGATACTGTCACCCACCAGAGAGCTTGCTCATCAGTTGTCGAAGCATATCGGGGAGCTGATCGCCCAAGCTCCGGGTGTTAATGCACGCATAGCGCTTTTGACTGGCGGGCTCTCGGTGCAAAAGCAGCAACGTCTACTGTCCAGTGCCGATATCGTGATCGGAACACCGGGTCGAGTATGGGAGATTTTGAGCACCGGGCAGGGGTTGATCCGGAAGATGCAGCAGATTAAATTCCTGGTTGTTGACGAGGCCGATCGCCTTCTGAGTGAGGGTCACTTCAAAGAGGTTGAAGAGATTCTGAGCGCTCTGGACCGCGTCGAGGATGGTGAGGTTCCAGATGGTGAGAATCAAGCATCTGAAGAGGGATCTGATCCTAGCTCTGAAAGACAAACATTGGTTTTCTCCGCCACCTTCCACCGCGATCTGCAACAGAAGTTGGCTGGTAAAGGGAAGTGGACCGGAGGAGATGTTATGGATAAGAAAGAATCCATGGATTACCTCCTGCAAAAGCTGAACTTCCGGGAGGAGAAGCCCAAGTTCATCGATATGAACCCCGTCTCGCAGATGGCCGACAACCTCAAAGAGGGAATTGTCGAATGTGGCGCCATGGAAAAAGTGAGTTCTCGTTGAGGTCTGGTAATGTAGAATCTAGGACTAACGACTTTTCAGGATCTTTTCCTCTATACACTACTTCTATACCACCCCAAACACCGAACACTCGTCTTCACCAACTCGATCTCTGCCGTCCGTCGTCTCACTCAACTCCTACAGACTCTCCAACTCCCAGCCCTTGCCCTTCATTCATCAATGGCCCAAAAGGCACGACTTCGTTCGGTCGAACGTTTCTCTTCACCCTCATCCGATCCCAGTTCTATCCTAATCGCCACTGATGTAGCTGCCCGCGGTCTCGACATCAAAGGCATAGACCTTGTCATCCATTACCATGCACCCCGAACAGCAGATGCCTACGTTCACCGCTCCGGCCGCACAGCTCGTGCTGGCGCCTCTGGTAAGAGCGTCATCATCTGCGGACCCGACGAGATGGTCGGTGTTGTCCGTCTCGCTGCCAAGGTGCATGCCAACATGGCAAATGGCAAAAAGCTGCCGCTGGAATCATTGGAGCTGGACCGTCGTGTCGTGTCACGCGTCAAGTCCCGGGTTACCCTCGCCAGCCGCATCACGGATGCTAATATAGCCAAGGAGAAGATCTCAGCAGAGGACAATTGGCTGCGCAACGCCGCGGAAGACCTGGGCGTTGAGTACGACAGCGAGGAGTTCGACGAGGCCAACGGCAAAGGGCGTGGTCGCGGCCGTGGTCGTCAGCAGAAGCAAAAGGAGGTAGGGAGTGTTAGTAAGGCCGAGCTGGCAGGGTTGCGAGCGGAATTGAAGCAGTTGCTTTCCCAGCGTGTGAATGTGGGCGTTAGCGAGCGGTATCTGACTGCTGGCCGTGTGGATATCGAGGCATTGCTCCGTGGGGAAGGCAATACTTCGTTCCTGGGGCCGGTCGATCCACTGGACTTTTAAGCTGTATGTATATATTATACCAAACATTAACTGCCTTGAACCATTACATTCGATTTCAGTCTCAATAATATGCGTTCTTTATGAACCGCTGTGGTAGCAAACAGCGTCAGACAACATCGCACCCGTGAGTGTTCAAGCTATCATAAGGCTCTCTACCTTTACAATATCATCATATCCACCAGACATCAAACAGACAGAGTATCGTAATACTGTCATCCTCATGAGACTCCTGTCATGCTGACGCGGATCCTTACAGTCGGTTCAGCTTGCATCTCCGACAAGCTCGAATCCCACACTGTCCACATTGCAAGATATAGTTCGGAAGACGATCATGGCACTCCTCGCATCGATGAGACCCCGGAATGCGTGGCCAGAACTCTTCGTGGTCGCATTCGTGCCGTTCCAGCAACAGCTGTACCATCTCCTGGACCTGCTCTGGCCTCTCCGGTTGAACTGGTTGAGCGGGGTCCCTGCCTCGGTCAACGAGATAACGGGCTCGATCCACCAGTCTGTTCTCGTCCCAAAGCTCGCATCGACACTGGCGCCATTTCGTACCGCAGGTATAGCAAAACTCCGCACCGCACCGACAGCTAAACGTTATATGGTTAGAGTCAAACTCTGCATGAAGGTGAAAAATAAACTTACGTGATATGATTGCAGCCTGTTCCAAGCTCTATCATATTTCGGCATTGGAAGCAACGCCGCCAACCCTCGCGCTCGGCCAGTTGGAGGACCTCTTCGTCTTCGTCGGGGCAGTCACCCTCGTGCGCGGGCCTCTTGCAGCGCATGCATGTTCGGGAGGAGCAATGACTGCATGTACCGATGTAGGAAGACACAAGATGCGGATACGGAAAGATGTATTTGGAGCAGGAGGGATTGGAACAATAGGTACGGTGCAGGTCGCTGAACTCGATGGCCTTCTCCTCAAACTCCTGGCTTCGAGCCAAGCCGAGGAACCCGCTGACAAGAGAGAGTGGAATCTCCTTCCTGCAGCAACGAGGTGGGAACAGCGACTCATCAGTCATAGAATCCTGGAAAAGTCTCACGGCACAGGTCCGACAGTATATGTGGCGGCAAGGCGCTTGGACTGTATTCGTCGACGGAACAAGTTCTGTGCACACAGCACATTCATAAAGAGGCTCCTCATCGGAATATGCAGTGATGCAACGACGCTCAGGGTCCTTGGAGCTCTCAGCCTGCGCGTGCTGGCTGGCATCTCTCGTGGAGACAAATTCGAAATCGGTGTTTGATAGTGTCAAATCAATGAAGTCCTTTGCTTTGTCTGCAGAAAGTTGGACCGCGATTGATTGATCGTGGGGCTGCGATGGGGGTACAGGATGTCCAGACAATTCGAGGGCGAGTCTATGATCGTCAGAAGCACGGAGCTCTTCCTGCTGCGCTCTCGTTACGGCAACGCCATCATCTACCACAGCTCGCGCGATGCTCCTGGCAAGTCGTTGGTCCTCGAGGGATCGGTTGTAGTTATCTAGTTCTTCTTGCCAGAAGTGGAAAGCTAGTTCTTGGTCTGACAATTGTCCAGCCACCTGTTTGCCTTTGTTTCGGTCCATGATATTTCTGGTATCCTCGCGTAAGATGTCGAGAATTACAGCGGAACTAGCCTCATCCATGCTTTGTGTAATAGTATAGGTACTGAGATGTAAAAGAGACTCAGAGATGGAAGAAAGAGAATAGGAGCTCGAGATGTCTAAGATGGATGAAGAAGGGGGAAGGGAGAGTAGGTGAGATGAAGTGTTGAGGTGAGAGAAGACTGAGCGAAGAGTAAAGAGAAGTCTTGCCATTTCACTGAGAGCAGCACATGACATCAAGCTAAACAACACATTTCGTTGGGATCTTTTCTTGTGTCAGTTACACTCTGTCTTTTGAACGTTAGATCTATAGGAATATATCATTCTATTAGACTATCTTTAATACAGTCAATACCTTATCAAGCCCAGTTTTACCAATATAGAGAGCACTCCCAGCTTGGTTTCTTATAGCCTGGTACATCCATACTTATCTCAAGTCCTCATTCTACTTACTCTGATACTTTCCTCTTGTAGTCTTTGACTGACAGATAATCGAGCCTTTGTCGTTACTCCTAAAAACTACGGAAGAAGGGTTAGAGAGTAATCGCTAACTTCGTTCCCTCGAGTTTTGCTTCATCCCCACTAGACACAACCGTATCCTTTTCTCCTATAGTACAGCATGTAAAACTCATATGAATCATATAATGGTTCTATATCTGGTTGTACTTGATCCTGTCATGTTCCATCACTTAGTTCTTAGTTCATACTTGACAACGTTACAAAAATGTATGAGAAGTATGACTAGAATGACCCTAGCCTCACCTTCTCATGACCTATACACAAAATCCTTCAACAGCCTCTCAAACATTGATCGGAGTTCATCATCTTAATATCTCACCAGACCCTCAATGTTCCTGCACTAGATTGTATGCAAGATATAATTGATCTTCTCTCGCAGTAAATCCCGCCTCGGCAAACCGATATCAAGAACCAAACTCTCGGCATGCCGATCATCTTATCAGTTATTACCAGTTTCTGCGCCAAAAATTGCATTCTCGTTCTTTCGGTTCCGCGATAGGTTTACCCACTTACCCACTTTCGGGATTCGTCCGCCAATCTTCTTCGAGAATTGCTGCAAATTTAATCCCGATGACGGCACTTCTTTTCTGCTGGTGGTCAGGGCCGGATTCCGAGTCATGTAGCTAGTTTTTGGAAATCCCTGGATCTGGACCTTGGGTTTCATTTTGTGATTCTGTGATTTCTGCTCGGGGATTTGCTGGTGCTTTAATCTAAGGCAGAGAATTATCGACTGAAATAGACTGTTATTTTATGAGCTCGTGGTGAGTCTTCCTTTCTACCTTGCATTTGTTGATATCATACCTCTCTACTTGCTCCGATTGCGGATTACCGAGGGGTAGTCGTTGAAGAGAGCTGAACGACAAAAGAAGTACACAAACTGGTTACTGATCTGTCATTCTAGTCAAAACTCAACCAAGCACACACATCACTGACGATAAATCTGGCATAAAGTCGCCATGTCGTGGCTTGCAAGGCCCTCCCGCTGCCTGAGCAGAGTCAAACCAACCACCAGACTCGTCGCTCCCGTATCTACATGCAACTTCCCTGTACGATCCATACAGGGCGCATCAGCCGTCGCTCAAGATCATCACTCGAGTCACACATGTTCCGCCGTTGACGATGGCTCCTCCTCATTTCTCCCCAATCACACAGCATCAGCGGCACAACATCCCCGCCCTCAAACCAATCCCATCGACGAACTGATCTCCCAAACACCCCTCGTACAAGCCCTCCGTCGCGATCCCGCCTATATCGAATCCCGTCCCCACCTTGCGATGAACCCCAGCCTTCGCCCGAACCACTTCGTCGCAGGCCCAAACTCTGGCCCAGGCAAGATCACCGTCCCGCCCTACGTCTGGATGGCGAAGAACCCGCGCACCGCCGCGGAAACGACGACCAGCCGCATGGTGTCGGTGTTCCATATCGGCCCGCAGCTCTGCGGTCATCCGGGCTTCGTACATGGCGGTCTGCTGACGGTGATGTTCGACGAGGCGTTTGCGCGCTGCGTTTCGACTTCGTTTCGCAGTGGTCTGGGTATGACTGCCAACCTGAACGTGGATTTCCGGAAACCTGCGTTGCCGGACCGACTGTATGTGCTTCGGGCGGAGACGGTCAAGGTCGAAGGCCGGAAGGCGTGGGTCGAGGGCACGTTAACCTCGTTGCCGCCTGTTGGCGATGCGAGTGAGCCTGTTATGGTCGCCGAGGCTAAGGCTTTGTTCGTAGAACCGAAATTCGCAGAGGTATGTTGCAATTGACGATAAGTCCCAACATATATGATTGCCAGACTGACTCAACCCATTAGTCCATGGTTCCCTTGTACAAAGGCTGAAACTCAACACCTCGTCGGTTGCAAGAGGCCCTGCGTACCCCTGTTTCCTAATAATAAATAGTCTCCATACCAATAGAATCATAGACAAGGATAGAGTAAATAGACCCGGCGTTAGCATAATAGAACTTAATGAACACAATCAATCAACACAAGACCAGATAATTTCATTTCTATCTAGCGGATATTTCCGAAACTGAGAACCCTCTGGACTCCTTACCAAGCCGGATTATCAACACGCAGAAACAACAAGTGCAAATTTGATAAATTCACAAGACAAGAGAGGCGAATTAATAGAAAAGAATGGTTCCCGTCGGTCGTCACGAGAATATATCGCCAAGGGGTATGATGCTGCCACTAGATACCGTACCAATATGCTGTCCGAAACGCTCTTCTCTTTTTTTCAATGGATTTCATTAGTTTTCCTTTGTTTTTGATGGTAGATGACGTTAACTGTGTGATATCCCCACGTCACGGGGGGAGCCATGGGGGCGACGGATTTTAAGGCCAAAGCAGAATGATCGACGGTGACGAAGTTCAAGACAGGTGGAAGGCACCCTGACCCTCTCGAATAGCAACAGACAGCCTTTCTCGAAGAACTTCCAAGCTGCTGTAGTCTGGAAGCTTGAGGTAGTTCACACACGTCATGACGCTGGGAAGGTAGTCATCGGGAGTGTAAGGAGGTTCACTGGGACGACAGACAACGGTGAAGATAGGGGTGAGACTCTTGAACCCTGGAAAAGAGATAGAAGTCAGTGACCATTGTTCAGCTGTAAACAGAGAGAGAAGCTGCAATTTACCTCCAATAGGGAGCTTCGGGCTGCCGGTGACAAATTGGAGGAAATCGCGCCGTTGCTGCGTATCTAACTCGCTCATTGTCTGCAGCAAGTTTCGAACGCTCTTGCTGTCCATGTTAAATCCATGATCGGCCTTGATGGAATCCATGAGAGCTAAAGGCATGGAGTTAGTAACGACTTCCCGGTCCACAAATATGGAACGCAACTTACTCTCAATAGTCCAATCTTCTTCGGCTCTTCCGAACAGCATGACGAGTTCATTGGGCGTGAAAGTCCGAAGCGCAGAGTACGGGAAGACTTGCGAGAATCCAGTCCGGAACGCTTCCACTTGACGTTGCACGCCGCTACCCAGTGTCATGTCGACCACTCGGTCAACGTACTGATCAACATTTTCAATCGTCACAGGAACGTTGGAACCGTTATCGATTAGTTCAACTGAAGGATAGCCAGGCAGAGTGAAGTCAAGACTCAAATCCTCCACTCTGACACCGTCAATTTCGACATTGCGCAGAGCTTGCGACTTCCCTGCGGCCGACAGAGTCCGGTCGCAGTCAATTGCCCTCTTCGCGTTAGCGAAGCGCTTCAGCAACAGAAGAGAGTTTGCAAGATCCTGGTCCACGGCTTTAACTGTCCCCAGAGACGGAGCCACCGAGGAAGAGCTATCGGCAATACGGAAGAAGGCCGGGTTAAAAGAGACATCGATGATCCTAGAGTCGAGCATCGAACGAGCAACAAACTTTCCAAGCGTTTTGAACAAGCTCAACTGTTTCTTTCCGGACTCCGAGGCAGCTTGTTCCTCACTCATGGGAGCCGGGAACAAGCCACGCTTGCCAAAGGCAAACTCCTCGTCGTTGTTGCAATCGTTTTCTCTCCAGATCTTGAGCTTCTTCTTGGAGAATTCCTTCGAGACTGTGGAGTAAAACTCGAGAGTCGGACCCAACCCTGTTCCGACTTCCTCGAAGTATTCCACCTCGAGAACGCTGGGCGAAGAACCGTAGAGCTCCATGACCTTCATGGCCGACTCAAGGATGCGACTTCTAGAGATCCGTACCTTTTGTCGCTGGAGACGTCCCAGGAACGGTCGGTCATCGCGTCGGTGGTCGCTCCGGCTGTCATCCGCATTCTGGGAATTTTGCCATCTCATCATCGCTCGGGCGTAGCCAAAAGCAGTTGACTGAAGGAATAGATGACGGGTTTCAAAGGGGAATAGGAAGGGGAAAAGCCGAGCCAGATCCTCGCTCCAGCTGGGCAGACAGCTGCTAGCCACGATGAGCGGTTCCTCCAGCTGACGGTTGAGCTTGGCAGTGAGCTTGGTGTTGATGAATTGCGCCAGCGGCTCCGGTCTTAGTGCTACAAGCTCTTTGGTATCAGCCAGTATGTCATCTAAAGTGACATTCATCTCGTGCAAAGAACGAAGGAGCCGTAGGATCGGCGCTGTGGTGGAATCTTTGCTCAGAGAGGACGGCATCTCAGCGCTGTTGCCGGACAAGTCTTCTCCGAGGCCGGGCGTAAGGGTGGAAGGCTCCGGCGGCGGTGGTCCTGGAACCCGCCTAAATTTAACGGTGTGAATGGCAGACCACACATTCCTTGCCCCAGCATCCGCGTGCTCACGATTGTGATGGACCGCACGGTAGATTGTGGTATCACTGGAGACAGGCTTGTCGTCTACGCTGAACTCGATGTGCCAGTCTTGAGGGATGGAGGTCATAGCGGCCGCGTAAGAAGCGAAGGGACGACCAGCAGTGGCCAGCGAGCTGCTTCCTGTCGTATTCGCGGCTGTATTTGGGGCGAATGAAGATGACTTGGATGCGGGAGTCGACTGAGACGGCGTCGCCACACGA